TGGATATTGCTATTGTCGGTGTTGATTTTGCAGTAAGTATATATTATTATAAAAAGGTTTTGTTATTGTTATCTTGGGTATAAGGATACGTGTGAATTATTTATAAAAATAAACCGAAATAAAACAGAGTAAAATTTTGCACGTTGACATCTCGTGGTGTTGCCAGTTATTTTTATTTTTATTATTATTATTATTATATTGTTTAATAGTCAAGTGCTTTTATGGGATAAGTCCGTAAACGAACAAACGGATCACCTGATGGTAAGCAATCTGCGTCGCCCATAGACACGCCGACGCGGAACACCAAAGGCGTTACAAATGCGTTACCGGTTTTTTGGGTATTACGACTTCGACGATTATTGGGAATTCAGGGATTGGGGAGATTTGAAAAGGGATAATTGGGCCTCCAGTCACCTCACTCGCACGACGAAACAAAACGCAAGTTTTGTCACGTCGGTTTTCTGCTCGGCCGTGGTATCACTCCGGTCCAGCCGGCCCATTCGTGCCGAAGCATGGCTCTCCCACTATAAAGTGTATTTTAGCCTTTTAATCGACACAGATTTACAAAATATTAAAATTTTTTTACTCACTGCCATGAAAGAAGCAAGTGAAAGTGTAGTGAATCCTCCAGCAGTGAGTCGTAGAGCTCGGCGTGTACGCACCATAACTATCAGTAATGCACGGCGCAGGCGCAGGGAGAACTTGTACCATAGACACTCGTACGCAGCACCCGCTATCTCAAAACTCTAATGTCAAGAAAAATATAGAAATCATAAAACATTGTAAGTGGTTACATAAACATTTAAAATCGTCTATTAATCCATTGTTCTCCCATTTCCTTTAATCCCACTTGATCTGAAATAATACATTTTGTACTTTGTCAAATACCTAGGCTAACAAACGTTGCTAAATCAGTCCTGGTCTACGTGGGTTACAAAAATGAGGTGTTAGGAATGCTTTTTTATTTACCCATACTACAAAGCGCGATACACTAAAAATATACAGTACTTTAAGCAAGTAAGGAACCAAAATAGCTTACATATTCCAAAAATGTAATTCTAAGTATAACTTATAATCATGGGTACATAACTTACTTCTTCTGAGAGCTGGTTTCCCTGGTAGCAGTAAATGAACACCTGGAAGGTCATATTCAAGAGGTAGGTGCCCATCGACAGCAGACGCACCATGTTATCCGGCTGTGCCATCTGTATGTGATATACCGAGTAAGGCCATTAGTCGATGAGGATACTACATTACAATCGCAAACGAAATCTTACTTGGAAATGTACAAAGTGCAGTTAAGGGAAATTATGAGGTATGGGATTTTAATTAGAGAAAACAAACGACTTTGTCATACATTTTATTAAAAAAGTAGAAAGTAAGAGAAGTATAAAAGTGCAATGAAGAAGAAGAGCATGGCTCTCCCACACTTAAAAGCATTTAAGTTCGGCACGAATGGGCCGGCTCGACAGGAGTAATACCACGGCCTCACAATAAATCGACGTGAAGCAACGATTGCGTTGTGTTTCGTCGTGTGAGTGAGGTTACCGGAGGCCCAATAACCTTCCTCTTCCTCAATCTCCCCAATTCCTGAATGCCCAACGATCCTCAAACTCCTAATTCCCCAAAAGGCCGGTAACGCACTTGTAACGCCTCTGGTGTTCCAGGTGTCCATGGGCGACGCCGATTGCTTACCATCAGGTGATCCGTCTGCTCGTTTACCCGGCATATCCCATAAACAAAAATTAAAAATAAAAAGAAAACTAACAATGAAGCATTAAAAAGCTGGTTTTTTTAGTTCTGGAACCAGATTCATGTTAAAGTTCCAACATTAAACGTTTTTATTCCACGTACCGACAACTGGAAAGCTGTAACACAGATGATGATCAGCGACACAGTCAACTGTGCAAAGGTGGGTTCAGAGAAACACTCCTGTAACTCCTTAGCAGCTTGTAAGGTCTCCTGGTGCTGCACTACGCATGTCCGTAGACGACTGCTGACTGTCTTCTCTTGGTCTGAAGTTAGCATGTACTGGACAAAGATTTTTATGTAATTAAGAGGTTGTTTAGTGTTGTGGACCGATGCTTATCTTGATTACAATTCACCATATGAAGAGATTCCTAGGAATATAACGAAAATGTAAAGCATTAAATT